GTGGGTCAGTCTGAGGCCCTCAGCTCATGCTGTGAGGTGACTGTCTATAGGCAGAGCAGACCCCAAAGCCTTCAAAACACTGAGCACCCCTGCCCACGTGCTTCCATCCTCTTTTTTTTTTTTTTTTTTTTTCTGAGACGCAGTCTCGCTCTGTCGCCCAGGCTGGAGTGCAGTGGTGCGATCTCGGCTCACTGCAAACTCCGCCTCCCAAGTTTAGGCTATTCTCCTGCCTCAGCCTCCCGAGCAGCTGGGACTACAGGCGCCCGCCACCACGCCCGGCTAATTTTTTGTATTTTTAGTAGAGACGGGGTTTCACCATGTTAGCCAGGATGGTCTTGATCTTCTGACCTCATGATCTGCCTACCTCGGCCTCCCAAAGTGCTGGGATTACAGGTGTGAGCTACCGTGCCCGGCCTCCATCCTCCTTTGCTTCACTTGAATGAGCTCATGATTTTTGAGCTGGCCTAGACTACAAGATCAGTGCCACAGTCAACATGCCAAGGCCCAGAGAACCTCCCTCTTATGATAAGCTACAGTTTTGCTTAAGGAACTATAACTTCTGGGCTGTTACGTAGGAGATATATTAGTAGACAGTCAGATGAAGTGGAAAGCACATGAAGATTTTTTTGTTTTATTTTTCAGATTGTTGATGGCATCCACAGAGGTGCTAATATCTTTTTTTCTTTTCTTTTTCTTTTTTTTTTTTTACTGTTCCGTTGCTACAAACATCTTTGCCCAGTTAAAGATTTCAGCAAAAGGGTTTCTTAATTAAATATTGCCTGATGCCAGATTACCACTCAGAAGGCAGTGGTGGATTCCATTAAAGGCTGAACTTTACTCCCACAGCTAACAGCTGATTAATGTGTTAATTACGAACCCTGTCCCCCTCCCCCAGTTGCCTGAGTTTTCTCTTAAGCCCAGAAGAAGCTGTATATTGTGCCCATGTGGGTAACCTTATGGCATACTTTGGCCTTGACTTTGACGTTTATATAAAAATAAAGGCTCAGTTGCCAACATGAATAGCTTTCTCTCTTTCCGGGGAAATACAAGATGGAAAGAGTTGTAAGAACCACAAGTCCACAAGTCCTGCCTTTCGGCTTTCTTATATCAGGAGCAAGTGATATATCTGCTGAGGCAGTGTCTTTGGAGCAGTTGAGCGGTGTAGGTTGCCACACATTTATTTCACAGGAAAGGAGTGAATCCATCAGGCCACTGAGCTTAAAAGTACTACCCTGGCAGTCAGCCACCCAAATATAAATACTCTAAATGGACTAAAGGAAATGTTCATTCTGTTGTTTAGAATTGGATGCATCCCAGGAAGGTAAATTTAATCTTTTTGAGGACTGCTGTTATAGGGTTGAATGGAATACGCATTTGTTTATCTCCTTTGTGATCTTTTTGTCTTCCTGGTGATACATTATGTATTTGTGATACGAAGCATTTCAGCTGCCTCGCTCAATGGCATTGCATTTGCTGATTGTTGGGTCCCCAGATTGGCATCGTTAAACAGCTTCAGCCTCTGTCCAATCTGGGACCTGTTAGTGAGAGAAGTGGAACCAAAGAGGCCAGATTCCAACAGAAACAAAGCCGGGGTGAAATTAGGGGGAAATCATTCCAGAGCTCAGTGCGTAAATCCCTGCACTTCTTAATCTTTATCTTTTAAAATATCTGAAGGAATTTTGGTACTTCTTGGCATAATGAGGAAAAAATGATTCCTCAAAAAGTTAACAAGTGAAATAAAATGTAAAGCTGTCAGTGAAAGAAGGGAAGAATAACCCACCACCCCACAATTCAGAAAACCAGAGTTTGAGACACATGCTGTGTTTCCTGGATATGCAAATGTTGTTTTATTAAAGACAGAGGGATATAGTATATATTTTCATCTAAATACACATCTTATGTAATCAGTTCAGGCTCTTATGATGAAATCTTTAATTACTAGAAGTGTGTCATTAGTTAGATGTAGAATGAATGATAGTACCGTGTTTTATTGCCTCACATGATATAGCCATTTGTGCCATAAATTCATTGACCTCATCTTAAATGATGAGTCCTGTAAGACAGACTTGATTCATTATTTCCTAAGTGACAGTTTTTTCCTCTAATAATTTTTTGCTTCATCAGAAAGATTGCTTTTCTGTATTTTTAGATCAGTATTTTAGATCAGTATTTTAGATCAGTATTCTGAACTGAAATTTAATAAGGCAAGGACACACACACACACTCTCTCTCTCTTTCTCTCTCTCTCTGTTTCTCTGTCTCTCTCTCTCTCTCTCACGTTACCCAAAACAAGATAGTCAGGAACTGTCACACTTTGGGATGCTGCCGAAAATCAAGCAGCTAACTGTAGGCCTTTGCTTTAATGGGAAAGTTTGATGAAATAGGATTTTGCTTCTAATGTTGATGTCTGTAATTCTTTTTATGTCAAAATAGATGAGATATGGTGGAGAATTCTCATTTGACAACTGGGATTGATCTATGAGCATTCCTTATTCATCAGTGGATTACTAAAAGTGAAGGAAGGGAAGGGAGAACATATAAATTATATTTAGATTATTATTATTTTTTACTCCATTTGAAAATATTTATTTGGCTTGAGGAAACAGGAATCCTTTGGAGGCAAATAATTCAATCTGGCAATTTAAAAACCAATTAAGGATTTCAGAAAACTCTTCTCCCTTATGGCTAAAAAATAAGATCCAAAAAAATATGCCAGAAAATGGGTATATTATTTTAATTAGTTTAATTCATTGATAATTTTTTTTAGTCAATGATTAAAGAAGCTATTTTTGATCCTTCACTTCAAGCTTGTAAATTTGCACTTCAGGCTTTCTATGGATGCCTAATATTGAAACATAAGCAGGTGGTTTTATTTCATAGTGGAATTTAAGTGCCACATCATTATACATTAATTTTATTTAAATGATCAAGTTTATAAAACAATAACTTACATGCATCATGTTTCTAATACTTGTTTACTTAACCTTTATATGAAAAATTTGAGGGTCTGATGGATTCTGTGGGTCTCTTCTCATCAGAGGCAATTCTGCACTTTTTTGTAAACTGGGCATCTCAATTATGATAAAAACTTCCCTTAATTCAGGAGTAACATGAAACACTATAGTGAAACACAGGAGTATATTAGCATTGAATTTTTTTTTTTACCACTTTAATAATTGCAACGGTTTTGATAGCTAAATTGAAAGAATGCCTTTCTAATTAATCATCAAAGGTAACTCAGCAGTTTCCTCATTCTCAAAAATTTTTTGCAAGAAGTAGTTTGAAAGGGCAATTTGATGAGACTAAACAAAACACGAATGTGTGCCAATAAGTATCTTATTCAGTCTCACACCATCAAGTTTATTACCTGCAAATACCAGTGGAGAAAAAGTGAGAAGGAAAAGAGTGGATTTACACATACAGACCCACATCTGCCACGTGCGTGTTCGCCCATGATCACATACCAGCATGCCACCACTGTTTACAATCAAGGAAAGCTGAGAGTTAAATGAGATGAGTAATCAAATGCCCAGCATATGTTGTTTTTGCATTGTTTATGTGACCAATCATTATTAAAATTTGTCATCTTTTAATTATATCAGTTTAAGATAGTTTTTTAAAAAAACCAACACGCACCAACAACAGAACAACAGACAGCCTCTTCAACAAAAACAGGGTCTCATTTAGAACAATATTGGAACCAGTGCTTTATTGGGGGAGAGACTCAAATTCAATAGACTCACCATTGCACTGTTTCACAATTCTTTCTTTGCTGCTATATATGGCTTGAGTGCTGAGAAAATGGCCAAAAAAAAAAAAAAAGGAAAAAAAGAAAAAAGATTGTGTGTGTAAAACTCTGTCAAAAAAAAGTAAGGCACTGAAAGAACTATTGAAAATTTTGACATCTGTTTATCTGTTTATAGCTATGGCAAGATTACTCATATTAATTCTTGTTTAAAATGCCATATGAAGGAAAGACATTTGTGCAAACAAGAGTCATATTTGAATTGTAGATCATGTCTTCACCATCTGTGAGAGCTGATGGTGTTGCAAAATTAATGTGTTAATGAAATCACAATAATTTCTCCAAAGTAATGGGTTCTGAAGCTGAGAATGAGTATTTTTTGAACTTTGATGTCTAGTGATTTCCAATTGGGAGAAGCTCTCAGCCTTTAATTAGTTCTGCAGCCCAACTTTAAAATAAATTTGGTGATGTCTTTCTTTTGCCAGGAGTAGATCTGAAGGGGGGAAAAAGCCATAACAACTTTTGGAAAATGTTCTCTGGTGTTTGAAAAGTTGTTAAATAAGACTGCCTGCCAAGAAATGTCACCAAAAATTCTGACTACTGAGAGAGAGTGGGCAAACAGCTCAAAAAATAATTCTAGCTTGCTGCAACATCACAGGTTGGGAATAGCTAAACCTCACACAGACTTCATGATTAATTCCAAGTTTCTCCTTGGAAGCCAGACATAATGATGTTCAGCGCTTTGTGTTATTGGTTAACACAGTACACCCTTTCCAACTGCATTATCAAACATAGTCAACAGTGTAAAGTGACTTCGCATGAGGAGAATTGTAAGGGGTAATATTTCAAGCCCATTGAACTTTCTGGAGAACATTTCCCTCCAAAACTCTTTAGGTTTGCATTTACAATGAGCCTTTCTGACAAGTGAAAATGTGTGGGCAGGTACATTGGACAGGTATATATATTCCCTTTTCTCAGAACCGTCTTTAAGTCATGCTTAAAGGGGACAACACAATTTCTTTAAGAAGAAAGAATAGGAGGTTGTGATAATTGGTATTCTGAAGGGCTCATATTTATAAAGCCAACCCATCATTTTACAAACATTTCAGAATGTTACCTTTTAGAAGGAAACAGTTCTGCCTGTTTGAGAAATGCTGGTAAAGTCTAAAAGAACGTTTATGTGAAACACGAAACGTCATCTACCCAGGTAAATTGCTTGTCTTACCTGTTGTGGTTTTTTATTACTGTGTTGTAGGTATGTGACTGGTGTAAGCACATAAGACACACAAAAGAATACCTGGATTTTGGGGACGGGGAAAGAAGGCTTCAGTTCTGCAGTGCAAAATGTCTCAATCAATACAAAATGGACATTTTCTACAAAGAGACCCAGGCCAATCTTCCAGCTGGGCTGTGCAGCACATTACACCCTCCCATGGAAAATAAAGCAGAAGGCACCGGGGTGCAGCTGCTCACTCCAGACTCTTGGAATATCCCGCTAACAGATGCTCGGAGGAAGGCCCCCTCCCCGGTGGCTACAGCTGGCCAAAGCCAGGGCCCTGGCCCGTCGGCGTCCACCACCGTCTCTCCATCTGACACTGCCAACTGCTCTGTCACTAAAATCCCCACGCCAGTGCCCAAGTCCATCCCCATCAGCGAGACTCCAAATATCCCTCCTGTCTCCGTCCAGCCACCTGCTAGCATCGGGCCTCCCCTTGGCGTCCCGCCTCGAAGCCCTCCCATGGTGATGACCAACCGCGGCCCGGTGCCGCTGCCCATCTTCATGGAGCAGCAGATCATGCAGCAGATACGCCCACCCTTCATCCGCGGGCCTCCGCACCACGCCTCCAACCCCAACAGTCCCCTGTCCAACCCGATGCTTCCCGGTATCGGGCCCCCGCCCGGCGGCCCCAGGAACCTGGGCCCCACTTCCAGCCCCATGCACCGGCCCATGCTATCGCCCCACATCCACCCCCCGAGCACCCCCACCATGCCCGGGAACCCCCCAGGCCTGCTGCCCCCGCCGCCCCCGGGCGCCCCGCTGCCGAGTCTTCCCTTCCCGCCGGTGAGCATGATGCCAAATGGTCCGATGCCGGTGCCCCAGATGATGAATTTCGGGCTGCCGTCGCTCGCCCCGCTGGTGCCGCCCCCGACCCTGCTCGTGCCATACCCCGTGATCGTGCCCCTACCGGTGCCCATCCCCATCCCCATCCCTATCCCTCACGTCAACGACTCCAAGCCCCCCAACGGGTTCTCCAGCAACGGGGAGAACTTCATTCCGAGCGCCCCTGGCGACTCCGCGGCGGCGGGCGGCAAGCCAGGCGGACACTCCCTGTCCCCACGGGACTCCAAGCAGGGCTCGTCCAAGTCCGCGGACTCGCCCCCTGGCTGCTCGGGCCAGGCCCTGAGCCTGGCGCCCACGCCCGCCGAGCACGGCCGGAGCGAGGTGGTGGACCTGACGCGGCGAGCCGGCAGCCCCGCGGGCCCCCAGGGCGCGGGCGGCCAGCTCGGCTTCCCAGGTGTGCTGCAGGGCCCGCAGGACGGCGTCATCGACCTGACCGTGGGCCACCGGGCCCGGCTGCACAACGTGATCCACCGCGCGCTGCACGCGCACGTCAAGGCGGAGCGGGAGCCGGGCGCCGCGGAGCGCAGGACCTGCGGCGGCTGCAGGGACGGCCACTGCAGCCCGCCAGCCGCCGGCGACCCGGGCCCGGGCGCCCCGGCGGGCCCCGAGGCGGCTGCGGCCTGCAACGTCATCGTGAACGGCACGCGCGGCGCCGCCGCCGCCGAGGGCGCTAAGAGCGCGGAGCCGCCTCCCGAGCAGCCGCCACCGCCACCGCCGCCCGCGCCCCCCAAGAAGCTGCTGTCGCCTGAGGAGCCGGCGGTGAGCGAGCTAGAGTCGGTCAAGGAGAACAACTGTGCTTCCAACTGCCACCTGGACGGGGAGGCGGCCAAAAAGCTGATGGGCGAGGAGGCCCTGGCGGGGGGCGACAAGTCAGACCCGAACCTTAATAACCCCGCGGACGAGGACCATGCCTATGCTCTGCGGATGCTCCCCAAGACCGGCTGCGTGATCCAGCCTGTGCCAAAACCCGCGGAGAAGGCTGCTATGGCGCCGTGCATCATTTCCTCGCCCATGCTCAGCGCCGGGCCCGAGGACCTGGAGCCGCCGCTCAAAAGGAGGTGCCTCCGAATTAGAAATCAGAATAAGTAAAAGGTTTGTATGTCCGCCGGGCGCTCCTCCGCACCAGCCAGTGCACCTCTCCTTACTTCTGACAAGGCAGAGGCGAGAGTTGTAATAATAGTCATGATTTTACCGTGTGTGTTTTATATTGCACCCGGTGTGGTCACGCTATCAACATTCTGAGCCAGCACCTCTGATGCTGAGTTGTTCAGTAGCATCATTCCCATTTTACAGCCTAGGAAACTGAGTCACAGCATGTGAGTGCCAAGCCCCAGGTCACTTACTTGAGGGGAGAGCTCAGTCTCGAACCTGTCGTGAAATACTCTGTCTCTAATTACACGTTTATTATCATGCTCATCTCCGTAAATCACCCTGTTGGAGAAGAGAAGGATGGGGGGAGGAAGAAGAGATTAACTGGGGACACCTAAATGTGCGATCATGAGGTTGCAGGGCAGTAGTGAAATGTCCAGTGAATCCATGAGCTGGGCCACCTCCTAAATAGAGTTGGTTGCCTCAGTGGCAGAATGTCACCAGCTTTTCTTGATAAGGACGGAATTCCATTTGTAAAGTGAGAATGAAACCTAACTCTTACATGCATATGTCAACTGAACCCAGGCTACTAAGTCCTATTTGCCTGGCAGGGTATCTTTCCTGTTCATGGGGTCTCCTTCCTGCAGTTTGGCACCAAGCAGCATCCTCCAGGGTAGGCCTCAAGCGTCACTGACCAGCTTTGCTCTCTCCCCGTTTTGGGGCCCAGCAGCTCAGCTGATGAGTTGCTCACCTTTGTAGGTAATGGGAGGCTTCGATAGGGAAGAGGGTGGCATTGCTAAAGTGAGTGACACTGCACATCTCTGACCTCATAGACTCCTGCTTAATGCCAAGTGAGCTGCTGAGAGTGAGTTAAAATTTTCAGCATTGGAAAGGGGAACTAACATGTGCCTGTGACAGGCAGAGGTGGCCTCATTTGCTCCTCCTGCCAATCCTGGTGGAGTAGGCATCATCTGTATCTCACCAAGGAGGTAGATGAAGCTTAGAGGCTGTGCCCAAAGCAGAGCTGGTACATGGGGACGCAGTATTCAACTCAGGCCTGTTGGACACAGCCCAAGCTCTCCCCCTATCCAAGTGGGTATCAAACAGGCCGAAATTTAGTTGAGTTTATCAACTTCTTATGGAGAGGAAGAGGAGAGATGAGCATTTATCAAGCACCTAACTTGTACACTGCTCCTTTCAGGGACTGGGGAGATACAAAGGCAAATATGGTGGCGTGCCCCCATCTGGTGGGAGTGCAAACTCCAGGAGGAAGGAAGCGGGGCCAGGAGAGTGGATCTCATAAGATGAATAATTGCTCACATTTGTATGCAGGCTGTCTTCTAAGTGTTTTTCAGTAGTATTTATTTGGATCTGGATCCATAGGACAATTATCGTCTTCATTTTATTGATGAGGAAACCAAGACAGAGACATTAAAGTAACTTGCCCAAGATTTTACCAAATTTGCAGAGTTGAGATTCAAATCCAGGCTGTCTGACTCCAGAGCTGCATTTTTTAAAAAACCACTGTAGGAGAATAGGCTAATTAGTTTCTTTATTACTCCACATACTAAAATTGTTTTACCCACCTCAGTGGGTAAAACAACTCCCAGGTGTCGTAGGCGAAAGTTTCTTAAAAAAAACAAAAACTAAGTCTACCTCCTAAGTTCTCTAAGTGTTCAAACAGTTGAATTCTTGTTTCTGCAGCACCAACAAGCCTACATTACCAACCCATTATTCCACAGTGGGAAATACGTGGAGCACAGCACTTGCTGTGGTGTGTCCAGTCCATGATTTCTAAGTTGGGCCTCCAGCATAGCCAGGAGATTGCTTGGGAAGCACAGACCAGAGAAGGAGACTTGTAGGTTGTGGAAGAAAGGTTTCTCAGCTACCATTGTTTGAGGTTTCCTTTTCCTCTGATGGCTTTGCCAGTAGAGGAAGAATACTAAAAATGAGTTCACCATTCCTTCTTGATTTTACATCTACAAGTTCTGCTGCCTGAAGACAGATGGTCTCAGCCTTCTCACAGTCACCTCAATTGAAAATGCCCCTGATTTCTTCATGAGAGTAATTTAATCTGGTTGACAAAGCTGTGAGTAATGGGAAGATGTGTGACCAAAAAAGTGATGGCCTTCAGAAAGTCAGAAAGCATTGGGAATTGTCAGTTTAAACACATTCTAATATCACTCATTCAGGTGAGGCTGAAAGAAGAATGGGAGGGTGAGAGATTTTACTATTATACCATCACTGGAGTGAGAAGGGACCAGGTCAAGAATAGTGACACTAACGTATGAGTAGCATGAGACCAAAAGAACATAAAAACATAAAATATACGATGGCTATTTGGATGATATATGTTTCTGAATAAAGAATCAGTCTTGTATGTGGACCAGAATCATTAAAAATATTAACCTGGCTCCAGCCAATTTCAGAAGATGTAGTGATGAAATTGCCCACTACTTCTTGAGACTGAAGAATTCTTTCAATGATGGGTCCCCCAAGAAATTACAGCTTTTCTTTAAAATCAGAAATACTCAGGCTTTGTCAGCTATGAAAGAGTGACAAGGCAAGTGATTTAAGATGGGGGAAAAACCACCTCTCCTCCACTAAATCACATTTCCTCTTGCCCTCGGAAGTTCCGTGTCACCTCACAGCACAGTCTCAACCTACCATAATTTACTCACATTCTCTGGCCCTTCCTGGCTTATTTATTTATTTATTTATTATTTTTTGAGACAGAGTCTCACTCTGTCGCCCAGGCTGGAGTGCAATGGCGCGACCTTGGCTCACTGCAACCTCTGCTGCCTGGGTTCAAGTGATTCTCCTGCCTCAGCCTCCTGAGTAGCTGGGACTGTAGCCACGCGCCGTGATGCCCAGCTAATCTTTGTATTTTTATTAGAGATGGGGTTTCACCATGTTGGCCAGGTTGGTCTCCAAATCCTGACCTCAAGTGATCCACCCGCCTCGGCCTCCCAAAGTGCTGGGATTACAGGCGTGAGCCACCACGTCCGGCCCCTTCCTGTTTTTTTTGTGCACATGTGGTGCTGTTTTTCTTCTATGCCTTCAGAAACCCAGACCATTCATATGGTTGGGGAAACTGGAAATGTATCCACTAAATAAAGGACTGTATGGCTTTTGTGCCCTGATACTGAACACTGGTGACAAGTTAAAGCTGAAGTGGAAAGCATTACAAACCAAAAGCGAAACTCAGGCTGAGATATGGTGGGTGAGGTGCAGGTGAGTGATTTCTCCATGTGCTTGTTGGTAATTCATTATATATTATTTCTCATATATATTCATTATTTATTATATAGGATAATCTGTCAACTTCGGTCAGCATCTTCGTTCTTCTCCCTATGTCTGCCTTTTTCATACGGTAGTACTATTTTATTATTTTTATTTTATTTAATTTATTATTTTTTGAGACAGAGTCTTGCTCTGTTGCCCAGGCTGGAGTGCAGTGGTGTGATCTGGGCTCACTGCAACCTCTGCCTCCTGGGTTGAAGCAATTCTCCTGCCTCAGCCTCCTGAGTAGCTGGGATTACAGGCATGTGCCACCATGCCCAGCTGATTTTTTGTATTTTTGGTAGAGATGGGGTTTCACTATGTTAGCTAGGCTGGTCTCAAACTCCTGACCTCAAGTGATCTGCCCACCTTGGTCTCCCAAAGTGCTGGGATTACAGGCGTGAGCTGCTGCGCTCGGTCTGTAGTACTGTTTTAAAAAATCATTTAAAATAGATCAAAAGCAGACCAAAGTATCTAGAAATTAGCAACCCAGGCAGCTACAGTTGTCTTCAAGGAAGTCTTATTTGCTAGTTCTTTTTAAATTACAGGGTTTTTTCCCCATTTGGAAATTATTCTTTTCCTGGTTACCTGCCTTTATGCATTCTTGTGTGTTGATATGATTACAAATTATTTCAGTGGGCAGCTATTTTCCCCAGATGCAGAACTAATTAAGTTTAGTTGAAGATTTTAAAAGGTTGTAAACTTCCTTTAATCTTCAACTTTTGAGACTCCAAATGCCAGTTCTGTAGCTTCTGTAAGCTGGAAAAAATATCCCCCCAAATAATAAGGAAAACAATGTACAAACATTTTCCAAACTATTCTATCCACAAAGAATTCCATTTATAAATGGAATACTCCCTTCTTTGTCTTTGCCTAGGAGCTTGGGGGATAGCTGTTTGTATTTGTACATTTTCTGAATTTCTACAGTTTACACTTGTTTATGGTACATTGGGGAGTTCAGAGTAACCATTTGCAAATGTTTGAAGATACTCAAAAGAAAATATTCCCCCTCCTCAGTTTTCCAGGGAAATGACATAGACTCTTTAAGTAAAATAATCAATGGAAAAAATGTGTACGAGGAGTAACCCTTTCATCATCTCTTTTTCCATTCTCAAGGAGCAACAGGTCCATACAGCTTTCCACCTTTGTGGCTCCCAAATTTCTAAGTTTCAAAAACCAGAAAGAAAATATGAGACCCTTTTTCCTAGTCCCAATTTCCTGATACTGCTGCAGGCTCAGCAGGGGGGACTTGACTTCTTATTTTCTCAGGGAAAGCTGGAGGAGGCACCTGTAGTTTGGCTTTTGGAGTTTAGTTATTAGTCTGGTCATGGAGCGACAGTCCTAAAACAACTGTTCCAAGGCAAGGAGTTCGCTTCATTGGGGAAGCCAAAAGGGTGGAGGTCACAAGTAACTTTTTTGCCAATTTAGTTTCTCAAACTGAGAAGTTCAAGAGAGGAGGCTATCTGGGAGGATGTTGGGAAGTCAGTCCATACATTCAAAACAATACTATAGGTGCCTACTTTTAAAACAAGGAAAAGAAGGAAAACTGAGAGTGACAAGAGGAAATCAGTATGAATGGGATGTGCTCAGATTCTGTGTCAGACTTGCACTATCTAATGGTCCAGCACTTGACTATTGGGAATGTTAATTGGTGACAATCCCTAAGTTAAGGAAGGGTTAGCTTGTCTGTTAGGATGCAGTTGGCACATATAGTTCTAGGT